TGATAAGTGTAATGACAGTGATTGTTCAAGTTATAGCTTTATATTGCGGTAATAAATGAATGTTATATTAATACGTAATAAATAGAAACAACTATTTCAATAATGAACTAATTCCATCTCTATTATCGCGATATTAATATTATGATTATAGAAGGATTATAGAAGAATATTATGATTATGATCGTAATATTGCGACATGTAATTTTATTATCGCAAGCTTACCGTTCTTATACTATATCTACAATGTGCCTATGTGTTTGAACCATTGTCATTCACGTGAAATTCTATTTTTAAATGCTTGATTGTTCGCTTTGTGATAAAAAGTTATTTAATATATTTACCATATTTATATTATTTTCCTGTTTCGAATAATACACATAATATGTATATTTTTTCGAAAGATGAACATTTTATTAGGATGTGTACAGCTATTTATAAAAACTTCAATTAACCATAGCATTCATTTATGTAGATATTATTCATACATAAATATTAGATGTTTTAAAAGTGAAGTTACCGTAGCATTAAGAAAACGTAAAATCACACTCTAAAATTTCTGTGTTCATCTCGCGTATATTATTAATTTGATTTCAGGTTTTAAAAGTGAAAGCGTAAAAGTATTTATATTATACAATGTTAAAACATGCTTTTTAAAACCGTATGAGCAAATAACTATTTAAAACACGAAGATATAATCCTGAAGGCTTCCGCTTTCGAATCAGACAAATAAATCGTCTTCCAATGTGATGTTTCTTCATTATATTTTCTTAGATCATTTATTGTATGTTCCCACAAAGTTGTTCTATTTTATAAATAAAATTAAAACAACAATATAACGCATTATATCGTATAATCATTAAATATCGCAAGAAATATCAACCTTTATAAATACATATATAAAGTATATATACTAGATATCTTAATCTTAAGACAAATGATTTTTTTATAATTTTTTATATCATTTTTAGATAATGAGATATTGAAGACTCATTATGTCACCATTGAGGTATACTTTTATTTAAGAAAGTTTCTATCTCTTACAATTGTTTAAATATTGTGTTCTCTGTAACATAATGTATGCGCAATGTGTACAAGATGAAGTCTTATCATATATTACATTGATTTGAATGAGGTAATATGATTGAATGCGTGTTTGCATATTTATTTAAATAGTACTTTTCAAACGTGACGAATGTAAAAAGTGTTCCACTCAAAAGTACGAAATTATGAATAACAAAGATAAAAAAATTCAAACAAAAATAAGTATATTTTTTACATTTGTATTATTTGTCACAAACGTATTTAATATTTATTCAATGAGTTTCTTCATCCTAAAGAAGCGCCGGAAATAGAAAAGTTGCCAGGTGGACAAACCGAAGAGAATACATATCGAGAATAAACTGAAATATAATACTCGAGTGTTTGTGGCCTCTGAAATAAAAAAAAAGGATCATTGAGAGGATCATTAAATTGTTTATACTTAATTATCAATTTAATTATGACATTTCATTATTAATTTAAATTTAGATTTATAATTTGATCATATAATTCAAAATTATCATTTTCTATACCAAAGTTATTTTCTTTTATTATTTACTAAAAAAAAAATTTTTTTACCATTTGTGTCTCTCATTTCTTCTTCGTTTTTGCGCATTCTGGCGAAGTCTTGCACTATCGCCTCGGACAAATCTTCCAATCGTTTCAATTCCACTTCTACTGGTTTCAACTTGGCTGCTTCACCGATCTATCAAAGAAGATAATAATTTTTACCGAAAAGCGACGACATCCTCCGATTCGACGGAAACCTGAGCAATTCGTTAGTATTGCGTATTACAATTGATACAAATGAATTACAAAAAACGCAACTACTATAAAATGAAAGCCAAATAACGGATAATTTCTTTACATGTATGTATTTTACACAGAGCGAAAAAAGATATTAGGTAATGCGATATACAATATCTGATACAGTAGTTCTAATTTTTAAGTGATGAAATTAACTAATTACATTAAATTTTTATCATAAATTCCTTTAATTTTTAAAAATCTTGTCTCAAACACAAGTAAAAAATTATACAATTTTCGCTCAAAAATATTTAAGTAATAATACCGAATATTTCGACTCACATTTTCTCAAAACCTTTCAAAAAAATAAAGAGATAAATAAAGAGATTTCAGCTATAGCAGGAAAAAGCATTTAATAATGTTATATGACTTAATTAATATTTCATGTTTTAGTGAGTATTATTGAGGAAGAACTGAAATTATATAGAATTGAAACATTCGGTATTAAAATGTGTCAATTATGCTGCTGTTATGTGGATGTACCATTAACATATTTTTAAGAAATCTAACGATACAAAATGCTTTATATTGAAAAAAATATCCAAATAAATAATTTTTATCGCAATATAAATTCAAGTAAAAAAAATATATATCAATTTTACAACCAAATATAATTAATGCGTGAATGAAAAATTTCAAAAGTTCTCCCCGTTAACGGAACATCCGCGAATAAAAGCATGCACAAATTAATATAACTGCGTTGCGCTCTAATAGCTCTGTTCTAAGGCTGCCACAAGTATGTGATTTGTGATAAAACACATGCATGAGAACACAATATCGAAAAACCTCTACTTTACCAACTGCGCCGCGGAAACAAGCCACATATAAAAAGAAAGTAAACAAAGTAATGTCAGGTGGTTTCTCTCGATCTTCGCATTATATGTTAAATTAAATTCTTTTTTTTTGTAAAGGAATAGATATTTGTAACAATGCGAACTTACGCCTTCGTAACTCTTTGCTTCAATGCCACGTTTTGTAATCAGCGTAACTTCTTGCCTGATACCACGCTGATCTGAAATAATTTTTGTATCAAATTTAGCTAAAACAATTTCTTACATTTTATATAATAATTCTTCCTTTAGATAATTCTTTTATATATGCTTTTCTTGTAACAATTCAATTAAATTATATATGATATTATATATCAAATATATCAAATATATTATATGAAAACAAGTTATAAAGTTAAAAATGTAGTATACATACGATTTGGAACGCGCGAAATGAAGCATATTTCAAAAGTGTCATAAGTTTCTGTTACAAAAGAGAATTTCAACAACTTTCCATGAGGAATGTCCTCCTTTTGAGACAATATATGTCCTTTGGAATCCTGAATCTGTAAGCAGAAAAAGTTATTGATGTAACATTTATTAATATACCTTCTTTTTAGCTTGATTTCTTGCAAGGCTTATCATACTTTTTTTTCCTTTCATATTGGAGAGAAAAAAAACAAAAGAACAACTATGAAAAGAATAAGCAATTTAGCTAATGTGTCTATTTCTATAAATGTAGATTGACTCTCAGTTCAATTAACTCTTTAGCTTCTTAGTTTTTAAGCCAGATCTACAATGAATTGATGATCTATAGTCTATAGTTGGTGAGTCGGAAGCGAATCTGAAGGATAATCGGCGAGTATCAGAATTGGTCAAAATCAATAAATTTTTTTGGTATAAGAATTAATCAGAAGCCAATTTCTAAGACTACTGATTATTGACTTATTATATACCCAGAGCTAGAAAAAGATGAAAAATAAGTTGATTGATAAAAAAATAAGTTGAAAAATAAGTTGATAAGTTGATTCGAGATTAAATAAAGTTAACCTTCATTGGTGAAAAATGGACATAAGAAGATGAGATCTAATATTCAATACAATTTTAGAAGAAAAACAAACAATAAATTTTGTTATCATAGCTGTTATCAAATCGCACAGCTGTTACCAAACTGCAAAACATTAAATAACATTAAGTTTCACGCTCTTGCAGAAATATTTCGGTAAAGAATGAATGAAAAATTGTTAATCTACTTACCACATAATTCGCCTTCTGACCCATCGCCTCGGATACCTCATACTCGCCTGTGACGAGTACATTTGCGTGGACCTCCTCCTTTAAACACTTGTGACTATTGGGCTCCAGGAAGAACATGATACCATGAACCTGAGCGACTAGGAGAATCGCCAGGAAGGCCTTTATGTGAGCCTGAATCATTTTGCTCATTTGGCTCAACAATCACTCTGAAAAGAGATGTTTCGTATCACCAAAAAAATGTTCCACGCTCACATAACATCCACAGCATCACGACATTCACGATGAGGTGGCAGCCACATTGGCCATTAAATACTAAGAATAAGTCAGAAAGGAAAACGACTTTGCCGAAGAGATTTAAGCATATAATTATCGACGAAGTCAAAATGGAAAACTATAAACGCGATCCGATTAGAAAGGTAGGCTGCGTTCAGCAGAACACAACAATTTTGCAACCGTTTTATAATTATCTGTTGAGATAGGATCATTCTTCTAGATCCAAAAGTATAATCCAATCAGCGCGAAAAAACTTCCAAGTTGCAAAATAAATGTTCTGCTGAACGCAACTTAGAAATTATATATTTCAAAATTATATATAAATAGAATCAAAATATTATATATAAATAAAATATTTTTTTTTTTAATTAAATGAGATCTAATAGAATTTTAAAGTTTGATAATTTTCAAAATTTTATATGTTTGGAACTTAATAACTTTTAAATAATCTCCAAAAGCTAATGATTTTTTCCATTTTTAAAATTTTGTATGATTTTCAAAATCACGCATCTCTTAATTTTTAAAATAAAAATTCTGTTTTTCTTTAATCTCGGTTTCATTTATTTTTTTGTCTAATTCTAATAAAAAAAATTAACGATATTCCAAGAAATAAAATAAATAATATGTTAAATCAAGATTAAAGTTAATCTTACATTAATGAAATTGGGTTTTAAAAATTCAGTGACTTTTAAAAATTTCTGAAAGTTCAGCAATTTTTCGATTTCTTTAAAATATAATTAATTTGTAATTGTAAAAAATTGATTATAAATATTAGATATCTGGTTGACCTTCTAAGTGTTTCGCATAGTCTATGATTCTGTCACAAGCAAGAATTTGCGGCTGCATTTACTAACCTCTTACCTCATCTAACCTCTCAGCAGTTTCAGCAGGCGATTACATTCGACGTGCTCTGGCGTTTGACATATGCTACTATCATCAGAATGGTTCTGTTGGAGAATGATGCGGTAATTTAACGCCGAAATTGTTCTCTCACGTATGAATGACTAACCGATGAATTTTCGTTGCAGTTCTTAGCGGAGTTAACCAAACTCTTTGACAAGTCGCGACTTTCGGGCGCAGTATCACTCACTATTAAAAGATGTGAGTATCCTTCGTTGTCTTTTTCATTCAAAATACATGTTGCTAAAAAGTAAAAATTCTCCGAAGATTATTAACCTTCCATTTGCAATCTGGGTTTTTTAACACAAACAAAATTTTACTTTTAAATGTTTTTCTCATTTTTGTTCAAAATTCAATTTGAAGGTTTAACATTTGAGTTAAAAATCTATTTGATAATGTAGTAGAGATGTTGAAAGTAGTCCTGAATTTTTCTATATTTTTTTAAGATCTAGAATAATAAAAAAAACTTGCTGGATATATACATAAAAAAAGAGTATCAATGTGATACAAATGTTTTGAAGCATTGACTATGTTCAGCAGAATGTTTATTTTGCAATTATTAAGTTTTTTGCACTGAATTGATTTTATTTTTAAAATCTAAGGAGTCTTGTCTCAAAAACTGCTAATAGTTACAAAAGTAAATATTCTGCTGGATGTAGTCATTCTTTGATTGATTGATTCTTTCTTCTGATCAATCAAATACTTAAAAGCATTTGCAGTGAGATATTTTCCTGGTTCTGTAAAATACATGATATAATGTATGTATTTATTTTATCCTTGTTTAATATTTAAATAACAAGGATAAAATGATATATCAGAAGCATTATATATTTTATGGAGCATAGCCTTTAATTGTATCCAGAGAGATTAAAAATACGATTGCAGACAGAGGATTAATTAAACTATTTATAAATTATCACTAGCAGGCTTTAATGAATTATGTAAGAAAAATAGAATTTAAAAATAAATTTGTATACTCATGATATAAACTTTTGTGATTCATTTCTTTTTCTTTTTTTTTTTGTATTTTTTATATATTTTTAAGGAGCTTTTTGTTTCAGTTAATGGACACAATAAACCGGTGCCTAGGAAAGGTAGACCTCCTTTACCGACTCCTACAGAGTATCTTTGCTTAGTTCGAGCATCGCTTCGCAATAAAAAAATCACCACTATCGTATGTATCTTTCACCTACTGATGGTAATGCTTGCATCTCTCTGAAATATGTTTTTCATCTTTCAGATTCATTCCAAGGATGTGAACAAATTCCAACAAGCATATTGGAATCTCTTGAAGACGAATATAAGCGGATTGAAGAAACTGAAGAAGGCGAAATCGGCAAAACCGAAGGTTCACTGACCCAGCGAGGATTAACTGCGTGACAGTTGTTTATTTTTTGTTATTAAAATTTTCATATTCTGTTCACCACATATTTATCGATACCTGTCTATTGTGTAAGCCGACGAGGAAGAAGCGTTTTATGCAGCATTTTGTATAGACTGATGTACAAAAGATTAATAATACTGTTATGAAAGTATACATATATGCGGCTGGTATATAGCATGCTAATATGGATGCATTCCATTTAAAGCCCGCAACGCTCGTGAGCATTATTTGTCCTTGTTTAACGTTCTATGAACAAAAAAAATGAAGATTCTTAGAGCATTACGAGCGTCAAGTCCTATATAATTGTGCGCATTTTCGTAAATTTATGTAATAATGATAAGGCAATAAGAAATAATTATTAAGATTATTAAGAGAGTCCAAGGCAGATAATTTGGATAAATTGTTTGACGATCAATAGGATTAAATTTAAATCGAATTTATATTGATTTTAGTTGTATTATTTTGTTAAATAAGTAAATTCAATATAACATTTTTTATAATTCATTATTATATTTATAATATTTTTTCTTGTTTTTAATTATGTCAGTTGGGTATGATAAGATAATCATTTTGCAAAACTTAACTTAAACTTCAGATACCGTTTACAATCTCTTAAGAAATTTCGAAAATGTTTTTAAATTTCATCATCTTTCTTTCTGCAAACAATAGAATCATAATAACATGAAAAGATATATCATTCCTTTAATCATTCGCGGAAATGTTTGTTGTCTCGAATAACACGAAGTCTTTGTCCCCGTTCCGCAAAATTTATGATGCTGGACTGTCGGAATGTCGCAAAAAAATATCGATTTATCGCTCGTCTACCGATCGGACGAATAAATCTTTTTCATGAGTGACAAACACATTGTTATATTACACATTGTTATATTATTTAATAGCTGTGTATGTACGAGCGATTTATTTTAACGCTATGAATTATACTTTGCGAATTTGTTACAATTGCAGTCGTTCGCGTTCATATATCTTACTTATTGCGTCTCGGAATTTGGCTTGCGTTATTCTCGGCTCGAATGTTTCATCGCGGATTCTGCAATCCTGTGTGTACCTTCAACATTATATGGGGTCAACACCGATAAAACTTGACATGTTATTTTACCATTTGACAATGAATGAGAATAATGGAAGGATTCACAGAATCGATGCGATTTTGTGAACCAATATATTTCAGTATTCAGATGTTCCAATATATTTCGCGAGTCGATTTTATTTTCGCAAATCGCACTTTCTTCACCTTGAGGTAATTTGACGATCCGTACATAGTGCGAGCATTCTTTGGCACTGAATCTAAATGTGGACCATTGTACGAAATCCTGGAGAATTGCCAATGTAATATTTGTAACGTAAACTTATTGTTTTACACCTACGTTACGATCGCGATTTGTTAAACAAACAAGGAGGAATCGTCACTGTTCGCGAGTTTTCCATTCTCGTTTCGTCGTTGACGAATGATGTGAATGAGAAAGAAAATTGATCCTGAAGAGAGAAATTTTATCTTCTCATACATATTTGGAGAATGAATGAATGAATGATTCTTTATTAGTTTTCTCAACTATTTCAAAAATACATCTTTTACAAATAATTCTAAATCTAAGTAACATTAAATATTATATATTCTTTTAACATTTTCTTAAATGATTCAAGTTTCTCACACTACTTTAATTCATATGGTAAAACATTATATATTTTTACTCCTTCATAAAACATACTTTTTTGCGCACTTTTTATTCTGTGAAATGTTATTACAATATTCCCGGTCTATCGCGTTTATCTTTCACTATCATTTCTCACAATTTCTAACTTATTTTTTTAATTGCTCCAATAATATGTTTTGTTAGGATCTGAGAAATAAAAGTATATGTTGTAATATAGCGAATGAAATATTGAAAGATTGAAAAATTGAATATATGTATATTTTTTGAACTGTTACAATTTTTGATGGATATTTTAGATCTTTTGCACTTGCTATTTGCGCAACGAAATTGTATGTAAAATATTATATATGAGTAATGGAATGCATAAGTAATCGACATGAGGACAGATAGGAATAAGTAGCGATCTGTATTTGAGAAGAATTCTGGATATTCGGTGATTTCCTTGACACGATTGTCCAGTTCCAGAATGCACGTGCTGTATTTCATTCTAAGAATATCGTTCTTAAAAATATACATTTTTCTGGCCGCGAATCAGGCCTCAAAAAAAAAAACAGAGTTTCAGATTATAAACAGAACATATGTAAATTGAGCATCGATCAAAGAAGAAAATTGAAGGCCTGATGCGAGAGAAAGAAATAACTTCAAATACTAGATTTCCAATCAGCAAAATTGTATTTTTATTTTAGTTCTTAGCTTTCAAACTATCTTTTATGATTATAAATCTTGTTTTTAATTTGAGTATCTAAATCTTCTGGTTTTGATTAATAGTTTTCATTGTCTTGTTCTTTTATTTTTCGTTGTTAGATTTCAAATTATTAAAAGTAGTGTATCTTTATCTTAACTCTGGCAAATTTTTTATTTTTTTTTATTTCATAGATATTTTTTCAATTTGACTACATTATTATAATCCTCTGGCTTCGTTTTTAATTTTTATTGTTCTTTTATTTTTCACTTTTATGCTAGATTTTATATTTCCAATTATCAAAAGTGTATCTTTATTTTAGCCCAGAATTTTCTATTCTTATAGATTTAATTTTTAATAATTTGACTCTCTACATTGTGATAATCCTCCGGTTTCTTTCTTTATTTTTATTGTCTTATTCTTCTATTTATTATCTTCGATGTATTTTTACTGCTTTTCTCTCTGTAAAAAATCTACTTTTTAAGAATCGTTTAGCATGATGTTGTCTCTTAAAGTTCGAACGTCGCCGTGAGAGCCATGTTGACGAGGGTAGTTACGTCCTTAACACGATTCTATTTTTTTCATGGATGTCTGATCGGCTTGACGAGCGGCAAGGGGACCTCGGAGTGACGCAATTCTCGTTTCGTACCCGCGAGTCATACGTGCGTAGTCGGAGTGGACGCGGTCGCGGCGAAGAGGGACGCACGAAGAGAGGAGAGTCTGATCCGGATGAAGAAGAAGCGGTGCCGACGCTGGGACAAGCAGAATCGTACGAACCTCCATCGCGGCCGCATCGTCGCGTATCCTTCCCTTTCGCACGCGCGCACGAAAAAAAAAACAGAAGAAAACGAACCCTGTTAGCGCATTCGATTTCGCGAGATTTTTCGACCGACTCGAATTAGCGGTACTTGAAGAGCAAACCGGAAAGGCCAGCAACTTGTAGCGACCATGGTTTACGAGAGCGACTTCTACACGACCCGGCGACCCTACACGCGACCGCTCGTCTCTTCCTACACTGTCTCGGTCAGTATTCTAAGAATCTGGAGTTGTTTCTTTTTTTTTTGCATCAAAAAAGCGGGCTGGAAGTATGTTTTAATAATGTTTTTTTTGCTACACGTGGCAAACTAACGTCGAGAAAGAGAGAGAGAGCCCCGTTTGCGACAGGAAGTGTACCATATCCTGTAACCGCCAGACTCAGCATCCCGTATGATTTCGCTAAACCGCGCCGACGTCTCACCGGCACTTCTCAGCGCATTATCGGCGTATTTCCTCTCATGTGCATTCAGGATTAATCCGTTTTTGTCCTGTGTTTTTTTCCTGGTATTTAATATTCAAAATGCTTTGTTGATTTAAAACGTAGATTTATGAATATGTCACGTGATTTTCAGTGATGAAGCGAAGATAATTGAATATGCTGTTGTTTTAACGTTCACATTATGAGAAAAATCGGTTCAGAAAAATAAAAAAAGAGAAATAATCGATTCAGGACAAAACGGATTAAATAATTAATCAATGATTGACGGGATAATTATTCGTGCGATCGCTGGATGGGGTCGGCGTTTTATTTATGTGACACGTGATATGACGACGATTCGTCGTAAATTAAATAGTTGAGTAATTTATCGGGTCACACATAGGTTTTCTTCGAAGAGATTGCGAATTAAAGAAGAATTTTTTGTATTTTTAGAGCAATTATTAAAAATCTTAGTAAAAAATATATATTTTGGTAACATTTTTTAATATATTTCTCATAATATATATTTTTTTTATTTGTACAATTTTGTCATCATATCAATAAATTTTGATATATCTAATAAAAATAGCAACTCGGTGAAAAATTAAATACCATAAAATGTCTGATTTTTTAATATTTTTAATATTTCAAAATAATTGACAGTAACAGAATTTATATAAACAACAGTCAGTATTTTTTTAAAAAACATTCACTTTAAAGCTAGTTAACTCTTAATCTACGATGTTAACAAGATTTTTATTTTCTATTTTCACATTATATCATTTATCGATATTATATTTTATATTATTTTATATTCATTTAGTTTCAAATTACGTTTTAAAACTATTTTTAAGGTGCACTCTATTAAAAATTTAATCTTTTTAAGATCTTTAATCTTAAATGAGATTTAATTCCATTTGAGATCTTCAAGCTTAAAAATAATAGAAAACAGTTAATAACGTTCCTTGTTTGAAGAGGCAAAAAATCAATGTACCAAAAAAGAAGATAAAAATTAAGGATCCTAAAATCGTCTGTTTTATCAAATAAGACTTACACACAGTTTATATACATTAACATATATATACTATATATACTACTATCAATATATGTATGAATTTTTTAACTAATTATTTCATATTAGATATCTAATTCCAAGAATTTGTTTGTTCATGTAATTCCTAACCAACATTGTTTTATCTGTATAAATTTATAAAATACAAAACTTTTATATATATAAAGCAAATATTCTTATACGTCGGCATCATAAATAAATATAAAAAAAATTATAATTTTTCAATTTTGTTTGTTTTTAGCATAAAGTCGACCGATTTGAACTACATTATTGTTTATACTTTAATTGTGGAAAAGATTTTTTAATCTAGGTAAAAGCAGAAAAATACTTATATTTGAAAAATAACCGATAAAATACAGATGACTTTAGGATCCTCTTAAGGGTTGATTTGAAATTCATAAAATAGAATGTATAAACGAGGAGATAAATCAACAACACGGTAAAAAAAGAGTAACGCTGACTCGCATTCGGCCGATCGCGATTTCGTTGTCGTCGGCCGCAACCGACATTTCGTGAGACGTCGAAAGTGCGAAGCGATGAGTGAGAACTTGACATTTGATTCTCCCTTATCCACCCCCCGGTTCGTCGACGAGGTCGATCGACGACAGAGAGCGAGCGGCGCGACCGGAAACACCTCGACATTGCTTGTTCTCTGACTTTGTTCTCCATCCTCCTCGAGGGCCTCACGTCCTCGTCGCTGCTGTTCGTCGTCGAGCTCGACGCCGCGACTCACCGAGAAATCACCGCCGAGATCTCGACTTCCACACTTCACTCCGACCATTGTGTTCACTACTATACTAGCACTGTACTACCAAATTTACTACTACTGTTATTTACTACTTAATTACTACTACTACTATACTACCGCTCCTATGCTCGAGAACGTGCACTCGGTGTCCCGGAGAACGACGAACTCTTCAATTAGGAAGGGTACGGAGAGTACGTAAAAGCTTTCAGAAATTCCAGAGGACACAGATTCTTACAAAACCATGGTCCAATTTGTCATTATCTGATTAACTTGTGATTAAACTTGATCTAATAATTGGTGGGATTCACTCATGACATCATCAAGAGCCCATTGGCTAAAACATCAGGTTAAACCTAACCACAAATTAATCAGAAAATGAAAAACTGGGTTTATGTAGCATTTTAACACTAAAATCACCGATAGAATCCAACTAGAATTGCCAAAGATGTCACTTTCGTAATTCCGATTAGTGAAAAGTATTTTGATATTATTTATATCGTTAAATTATTTGTATTATATTTACATATTTTCAATATTTTGTATTCTAATTAGTCTAATACAAAAAAAAAATTGAAATGATTAGCGGAGCCAAAATGATAATCGACGGTTTTAGTGTTAATGGAATCCGTGTGTACATTGATTCGTAAATCAAACAATTCCGCGATAATCGGTCAGAGCGATTCTTTTTTTTTTTATTTTCACTGTTCTGTCAAAGATCTGCGTTGCCTCTCAAAACTTGACTCTGTCAACTTCGAATATCTTTTATCCTTGTGCAATATTAAGTGTACAACGCGGATAAAATGATACTCTTTGACAGAGTCGAGTTTTGGAAAGCAACCCTGTAGAGTTGTAAATCATAAGCGTGAACTCAAGTCCATTGTTAAATGGATTCGTATAAAAGCCCTTCCAATGTGATATGCAATACTTTTGTGTCTTTTTTTTGTTCGTGTTTAGTACAGCTACTCTTGAGTTCAAGGGATAGCATTAGTTCTTGTTCTACGTTGTCTATGTCCATGACCCCGCAATCGGTGAGTTATTGTGTATGTGCGACAGGACTCGCCGCATACCGTTTGTGCTAATCGCAACTCGAGCCGTTGTGAGAGATTCATTGTCCGACACGTATTTCTAACCATTAGATTTGATGTTGATTAAATGATGTTTATAAACGATACTTCGATTTTTATCATATGAATGAATTAAATTAAATAATGCGAATTATTAAGTATGACGAAAGCAGAAAGAAGGTACTACAACAACATATATTTTTTTTAATTGATCTTGTTAATTTGTGATAGATCTTAAATTGTTTCGAAATTATTAGTTTTTGTTAGTTATTATTATTAATATGAAAAAAATATAATACTATTTTTGAAAATTATTATTATTAAATACGTAAAAATATTTTTTGCAAATATATGAAAATATCTTTTTATTTCATTGTATTATTAATTTTACTCGATAGAGGTTCGTCTCCATTGCTATTTGGCGAGAGGTTTTGTTTAGACATAGTTAGAATCGTCGAGGGATCGGGAATCTGGGTTAGCTTTAGGGATTGCCATTGATCATCAATCCGACGATAAAAAGTAATGAAGGTAATAAGAGAAATGGTGCAATGTTGACAGGAAATTGTTCTTATAAAGACAATCATCCCTCCGAAAAATTCGAATTAAGCTAAATTTTTTGTTCCGAATTAATAAAATTCTGGAATGGCAGTCACTGTTAATAGTCTATTTAAAAAGATTAATAAATGTTTTTTAAATTTAAAAAAAAATCATAAAAAAATGTTTTCGTGGAAATATTATTTAAAAACGTAAAAACAAATTTCATTATAAAAACCGATGACTTCAAAAGCAGAGAGTTTTTAAATTCGATTAAATGGCTATGAATTAAAAACGAGATTTTCTATAAATATTCGTAACAATTAATTTCGTTTAATTATCTTTTAACTGTACAATTTTATTCCATATATTTTCTTCCGTCAAAAATAGTAAGGAAAATAAATCTCGCGATTCGAAAAATGCAAATCTGTTTCTTCGATACAGTGATGTCACAAATATTTAGACTAAATTAAAAATAAAACTTGCTGCATTTCGAACTGCGCACTGTAAACTCTTTCTTGGATATCATTCTCCAATGTAAAAATCTCTGAGCATTCGGCCGAGTTCTGTTCAAGGCTCGATTTGGATCGGCCAAATACATTTTTTTGTCGACGTGAATCTGAGATTCGCTGGGTCGCGCGGCCGTCTAAGTTTAACACGACGAAGTCCCGGAAAATGGCTGCAACGCTATGAATAGCTTCCATTCTGTAATTCCCTCCGGCAGCTCTATTTATAATGATTTTGGATTTTCTGATGTTAGACGTTTCCTGACGATTTTGTCCTGCGCTTTTTGCTCGAATCGCGTATCTTCAAAGCACAACAATTTTCAGCTTTTCTCGTTTAGATCGCGCGTTTTGAAAGTTCGAAACACTATACAGCGATTGTTTAATACTGGCACGAGTCGCTCGTGCTTAATACGTGTCTATTTATAAAGGTTAAAATCAACCGCGCTTCGCAGAATGGATGAACGTTTTGGCGTCATCATCTGCAATGCTGGATCGAATTAAAGGGACGTTATAATTTCGAATATTCATCATCTGAATTCGAACATCCCAATGAATGTCATGGCATTTTAGATTAATAGAGTAATTCGCACAAAAATTTTATATTTCTGAACGATGTAGTATTAATTTTCCTGCTTTGGAAAGTACATTACAGCAATAACACTGCAATTGCAATAATGTAATTATTTTAAATCTTAATTATGGTATAATTATGTACAATTATATATTTATAACTGCGTTCGTAACACAATAATTGTATAACTATTATTAGCAGTATTATGATTATGATTATGACGCAAATAAAAATTCGGTAAAGAAACTATAAGGTTTGCAATTATCTTCGTATCTTGATATACATTATTAAACG